TTAGGATGGGAAGATCTTATGGAAGTAGTAGGCTCTGGCTTAGGCTACAGAGCCTGGGCTGGCAGCCCCGACCCGTAGTCCACACGTTCCCAGCTTCCAGTGAAGAGGGGAAGGATGTTATGCATCAGTCCGTTCTGGAAACTCTGCCCAGTGCCCTACACGATACATGAAGGTAAGTCACATTTGGATACGCCTTCAGAGAGATTTTGGGAATCTGGGTGAAAGTTTAGGCTACATGAAAACAAAACTTCACTCGAATGATGCAAGAGAAATTGGATCCACTTTCTACTTTTAAAGAAATATAGTCAAAACTACCTAGAGTTTTAGTATTTGTGTGTGCACCTGTATGTGTGTGTGTGTATGTCTGTGTGTGTGCACCTGTATGTGTGTGTGTGTGTATGTCTGTGTATGTGCACATACCTGCCCACACAACGGTGTCTGTGTGTGTGTGTGTGTGTGCACCTGTGTGTGTGTGTGTGTGTGTATGTCTGTGTGTGTGCACCTGTGTGTGTGTTGTGTGTGTCTGTGTATGTGCACCTGTGTGTGTGTGTGTGTGTGTGTCTGTGTATGTGCACATACCTGCCCACACAACGGTGTCTCTGTGCAGGTCACAGGACGGTTGGCGGGAGTTGTTTCTCTCCGTTTACTTTGCAGGATCCAGGCATGGAAGTCAGCTCTTCAGGGTCAGCAGCTAGAGACTTTACTCACACAAATATTTCCAGGCCCATACCCAGAGTTCTAAGTGTCTGCATGCTAGCTGATCCAGGACACTTTCTATTTTATTTTATTGTTGTTGTTCTTGTTCTTATTTTGAGACAGGGCTTCACTATTTGTACTGGCTGTCTGGAACTCCCTATGTAAACCAGGCCGGCCTCAAACTCACAGATTTCTGCCTGCCTCTGCCTTCTAAGTGCTGGAATTAAAGATGTGCACCACCACCTGGCTGATCCAGGAAACTTTCAAGTGTCTATCATAACTAAGTAATCATTATAATATTTGTAATAATAGGGGCTAGAAAAATGGCTCAGTGGTTAAGAACATTTGCTGCTCTTACAGGGAATCCAGATTCAGTTCCCAGTGGGTCCCAGCATTCATATGGTAACTCATGACTCCCAATACATCCTCTGACCTCTCCAGACAGTGTATGCATGTGGTATGCATACATACATACAGATAAAACACTCATACACACAAAATAAGAATCAATACATCTTTTAAAGTATATTTGTAATAATAAAGAAGAAGAAACTAAATGTTAATAAATAAAGGAAAAATACTTATATGGTGGTGTATTATGTATATTATACATTATTATGCAGCTAATCAAATGACCTTTCTATATACTAAAAATAAGTAAATATGTAGGTAAAATCATATTAAATATACTAAGGTTACAAAAATACATTCACAGACTTAAAAATTACAATGCGTGTCTTCCATAATAAAAAAATGAATAAGTTCAAAAAGTAGCTTTAAAAAAGAAAGTCTATTTCACTCTCTAGGCAAATATGGACACTTGTGATCTCTGTTCAGCTATCATACTACTCGTTCTTGCTAGAGCAACTATCTGGTGCTTGATGATAATATGCTCTTAGGGCCCCAAGTCTACTCAAAACCACTAGAAATAATAAATAAACAAATTGATCAATACAGTAAAGGTAGAGGACACACAAAAAAACACATTTCTATATACTAGTAATGAGTCGTCCCAAAGAAAAGTCAGTAAAACAGTCCCTTTATAATCGCTACAGAAAATAAAATTCTTACGAACAAGGCCACGGAGCAGCAAAGGCACCGAGGACACACGCTAGGAAAATGACAGTCTGCTCCTTTAAGAGTGCTGGGGAGACTGGGCAGCACGCGCAGAAGGATGAACGGGACTCTTACCTCACATACAACACAAGAATGAACTCCAAATGGTCTAAAGACTTAAGTGTGAGCCCTGAAACTATGAAAGTGCTGGTGGACACAAGGAGAACTCTGTGCCTTGAGCTCAATGATGGTATTTCAGATATGCCTTAAATGCTCATTCCACAGAAGCAAGACCGGGCGATTATCTCAAGCTCACAGCTTCTGCACGGAGAAGGCAGCAATCAGCTGAATGACGAGGCCAGTCTGGGCGACAGACCTACGGACCGGGAGAAAATATTGGCATGGCCTACATCTAAGAGAAGGGTGCCAACAAAAATTCACAGGGAATTCAACTCAGTAAGAAAGTGCACAACCAGATTTAAAGCAGAATGAAGACACACCCCTGCCTGCCATTTTTCTCTTTCAAGAAGAGCCGTGCAGGTGGCCAGTGAAATCTGGAAAAGCTGGTATCAGTGAGGTGTGAAGTGGGGTTGAGTCCCCTGCGCGGTTGGCACAGAGTCATACAGCTGTTCCAGAAATCACGGGGCTCTCCAGACAACAAACGGAATTAGCATGCCATCGTATCTCAGGGCTTATACTTAGAGGTTTGCAATTCGGTGTTTTGAACAGATGTCTGCATTTCCACAGTCTCCACGGCACTGTTCCCAACAGCTAAGTTAAAGCACAAAGAGGGCGTGGTGCGTTCTCAGTAGTACAGTAAGCAGCCCTTTACTAAAGGGATGGCGGCCGTTGGTGGCGACCTGGATGAACCCGCAGGATGTTATTCAAAGTCTAAGAAGCTAAACACAGAACAGATACCTAATGCTAATGATTCTCAATCTCTCTCATAAGCCCAAATTTTGACCCAAATCTAATTCCCTATTTTTAAATGCCGGAAAGAGATCTTTACGGAGTTTAAAACCAATTCACGTCTTCTCTCTCTCTCTCTCTCTCTCTCTCTCTCTCTCTCTCTCTCCCTCGCTCCACCCCACCCCTCCCCCCTCCCCCTCCCTCTCTGTCTCTTCCGGCTCTTTTCTCCCCCTCTAGCCCCCTCCTCTTGTTTTGCTTTGAGAGAGGGTTTTGTGTAGCCCAGCCCGGCCTCGGACTTATGTATTTGAGGATGACCTGCCTCGTCCTCTCAAGGGCTGAGCAACACTGCGCACTTAGGTACAACTTCTTAAATTGACTGTGCATCTTAAATACTGTACATCTCACTTACAGGCAGAGCCTAAAACAACTGAAGTCACAGAAGCCAAACAGAAGGACAGTTATTCAAGCCTGTTGAAATACGGCTCAGCTAAGTGACTGTAGTTATGATGAAGCTATGCTGTAGAATTTGGAGCTGTCAGCGTTCATTCTGGGTGTTCTCACCAAAATAAAATCCTAAGGGACCTGGAGAGTTGGCTCAGCGGTGAAGAGTGCCGGCTGCTCTTCCAGAAGACCCAGGTTCAATTCCCAGCACCCACATGGCAGCTCACAACTGTAACTCTAGTACCAGGGGGTCCAGTGCTCTTCTTCTCACCTCTGTAGCACCAAACACACACAGGTTACACAGGCAGACATGCAGACAGAACACCCATACACACAAAATTTAAAAAAAAAAATGAAATTTACAAAAAAGCCTAAATATCCAAGGTGACAGATATGCTAAGTAGTCTGACTCAATCTACATTTATGTCTCTATTATGTCCTATACCCTGCTAACAATCAGTTTATAATACTTCAGTTTTTAAAAATTAATCAAGGGGCTGGAGAGATGACTCTAGTGGTTAAGAGCACTGACTACTCTTCCCAAGGTCCTGAGTTCAATTCCCAGCAATCACATGGTGGCTCACAACCATCCATAATGAGATCTGACACCATCTTCTTGCCTGTAGGCATAAATGCAGGCAGAACACTGTATATATAATAAATTTATTTAAAAACAGTCAAAATTCATTTTCTAAAAGAGTTTTCTCAGTCTGTGGCTTCTCCAGAGAGGTTGCCGTTCTAATTGTGTCTTAAGAAAAAAGGCTGTGCAGCTTTCGGTGACAATTAGCAGGGTTAGTTAGTTTTAATTCCCAAGCGCACATCTGGGTCAAACAACCCCTGTGGGTTTGGGTTACGTCACTGCACGAATTCCATTTTCCCAAGCAATTTCTGACGCTCCAGGCACAGTGGTCCTCCTCCATGTGCTGCACCCTCCTCCGCTCCCCGCTCCACTCCCCCCACCCCCGGCTCGCTGTGCATGCTGGATATCTGAGCTCCTGGCTGTGTGACGTCATAGAAGCGGACAGAAAGTAGCTCGGTGAGCTGATCTGTGGAACTGCTGTTGGGGGGACTCAGACCTCAGGAGGGAGCATAGAGGAACAAGACAGGGTTCTGACCTTAGAGAGACACGCCTCCCTTCACATTATCTGGTCTTTTTCACTCTGGGGATTGGTATCCGAATAGAAGGGAGACTCAGGCTGGACTGGAAATTAACACTGATGACCAGAAGACAACCTTCTCTTCATCCATATCCTCATCAGTAAAGAGGGAGTGCTAGGCCTGGTCGTCTCCAGGGCCTGATTTACTGACCGACGCAGGTATGTCAGTGTGATAGACAGCACACGAAGCCAGTGTGACCTTGGAGCCAGGTGAGGCGAAGGCCTGGACTCTGGCTACCTAAGCTCCATCTGCTTGGTGGCTACGGCCAGGGCAGCACGTCCCATCCTGGCCTCTCCTAGGCTGCAGGTAGGGGTGATACACCAATGCTGCTAGCTGTGTAGCCTGAAGAAAACAGTTTTCCAAACAAGACTGGAAAGAGTCCCACATTCACAACAGAAATAGTTACCAAAATCATTCCCCTAGATCGAAACTTCCATCAGTCCCGTGAGAATCTGTGCGGACATCAGTCATCCTTGGTTTTCAAAACCTGTACGATATTTTCTTTCTCAGAATCTTTTTTTAATCCAAGATAATAACAAATTTAAGAATATATGCTAATACTGTCAAGTGTAGTACCATTACAAGGGGAAACACCACTCTGGTTTCTAGAAAGGGAAAGAGAAGAAGGAAGAGGGGAGAGGCTTCCGTCCAGATCTGGCCATGCTGTGGCCTGAGACTGGACCACGCAGCGCCTGCTCTTCATTCTTCCCCAGGCCTTGGCCTCCCTGTCACTCACTCACCTGCCCTTCTTAGACGCCTCATGAACTTCTCTTCCCGGCCAGTGCACTGTGCTGTCAGCAGCCAGAATCCATCCCCACCACAAAAGGAAGATGCTAAATTTCATATTCTGGACAGCCAACATAGATTTCCCAGTCAAACAGCTCTCCCGAACAGCCGTGAGAAGGCGGAGAAGGAGCCGGTGGGGAGCCGCGGCCGGTGCTCTCTTACGGCATCCTTGCTGTATTGTTATTAGGATGTTTACTCCTGCACAAATGAAGCCGCAGTCTGTAATCTGGCCAGCGGGAGAAAGCAATTTCCACTAACCCCACAAATCCTCCTGCGTCAGATGTCAGGGATTTTCTGAACTGAGGTTGAATTCCTGTGCCCTGTGGGACAGCCCTTGGAGCTGGTCTAAATTAGTTTGTCATCAAATGTGGTGAGGGTCTGGATTTTCAAGTCAGCTGGGCAGAGAAAAAAAGAAAGTAAATGTGGAAAGGCAGAGGCACTGTCTGTCTACTTGCCGTGATCCTGCCCTGATCTAGCTGAAGCTTCTAGATGTTTCTAGCTTACTCATGGCTTCGGCAACTTCGGGGTTGATACCTGGTGGGTGGTTATGACTGGGGTTAAGAGGGCAATGGGGAGAGGCTTAGTCATGGTGTGCAATGTTCCTCTCATCAGCCTCACTGGGCTTTTACATTTGGAAACGTCTGGAAATAAATGAACTGCCATCAAGTGTTAACCTTTAACACTTGCCCAGAGACCTTGGTACATAATCTGTAGGTCCAGGCTTCTGTCTCCATCACAGACAGGGTCAGGGTCCCATGGAAGAGGGCTACATCCAAGACTCCAAGTTACTGACTCTGTCAAGCTAAAGCTCACACAGTTGAGGACTTTCAGACTGTGCTGACAGACTGAGCCAGGGTTCCCAGAATTCCATAGCAGAAAAGGGTATCCTGAAACTCAGGCTACCTGTCTGGCCTTGTGCTTTCCGTATAGTCAAAGTTGTCTCTGAACTCCTGATCTTCCTGTCTCCAGAGGGGTAGAATCTTTAAGAGACAGGGCCTAGGCCAGGTGTTGTGGTACATAGCTACAATTTCAGTGTTCTGGGAGGCTGAGTCAGGAAGATTATACATTTGAGGCCAGCATAGGTTACATGGCAAGACTACATTGAAGAACCAAGACACTAAATGAAAGGAGGAGTAACTCGAGGAGAAGGAGGAGGAGAAGGAAAAGGAGGAGGAGGAGGAGAAGAAGGAGAAAAAGGTAGGAACTACTGTAAGATAATTAATGAGGAGCAGGTCCCATTTTGATGAGATTACTGTAGCTCTCAAAAGACCTTGTTCATTTCTCAGACTGTAGATTCTTATTAAAAGAGCAAAGGTGATGCCATGTTCAACCGCTCCACCAGCTGGATCCTACACATCTTTCTCCAGGGTCTCTCACTGAGTCTGCCTACCCCTCCCCTCCATCCTCCCCAGTCTGCCAGGTCTAGCCAGGGTCCCACATCTAGTGCCCTGACACAGACTGGTCAACTCTGCTGAAGTCACAACCAACCCTTTCCATCAGGACCCACAGTGCCTGTCCCCAAATGCACAGGCCCCTCCCATACCAAGTCCAACCTCTCTGACCAGTCAGAACCACTCCCACACTGCAGGCCTGGACCATGGACCAGGACGCACATCCCACACACCAGTTTCTGTCCACCTGACTTTACCCCACCAAAGCCATTTCCAACATTTAGGCCCAATCCACCTACACATCTTCTCTTTTGCCCCAACCTGTTCTCTCCATATCAGACTTAGAACTAACCAAAGAAATCTACATACCGAGATCACATTGCAAAAATACAAATAATATGATCAATCCAGTACTTTCTCTCCCAAACCTATCAGTCCTGTAGAAATGTGGGCCTATAGAAATGTTACCCAGATGAACCCCAGGACACAGAATTTAAAAGAAAAAGCATAAACTTTATCAAATAATTAAAGAGTTTATAGAATGCACTAGAAAGCGCTTAATGATATCAAGGAGAAAGAACTTGAGGACAAATGCCTGAGTGATTCCCAAGAACACACAAACATAAGGCTGATAGAAATGATGAAGACGGAATCCAGTAAGGAGAGAGAAATGATGAAGGGACTCAAGCTGAAATGAGGATGGAATTGAAAAACAGTAACACAAATGGAAAACTCAAAGGAAAGTCTTATAAGTAGAATGGATCAGGCAGAATACAGAAGACACCAATGAAATTAAAAAGATTACAAAGGGATGAATTAAAAACCTGTATTTTATTAATCCTAAAAGAAATGGATGAATTTTTAGATTTAGCCAAATCGCTTAAAACCAAGAGAGGCCAACAGTTTAAACAGACCCTTTCTTAAATACTTTTCTAGTACCATGGCAAAACACCACTATGGAGGGAACTTCTAAAAGGAAGCTTTTAATTTGGGGCTCACAGTTCCAGAGGGTTAGAGTCTACGACCATCATAGTGGAGAGCAGGGCTACAGGCAGGTGGGCACGGCCACTGAAGCAACAGCTGAGAGCTTGTGTCTGCTAAAGCAGAGACGGGGGGGAGGGGGAGAGAGAGGGAGAGAAAAAGCAAGCACAAGCACACTAGCTAGGAATGGTGTGGGCTTTTGAAACCTCAAAGCCCACCCCCACTGGCATGCCCTCTCCAACAAGGCCACACCTACTACTTCCCAGTGTTCCACCGTCTTGGGACCACGAAATCAAACTTACAAGCCTATGGAGAACATTCTTGTTCAATCACAGATACATGACAAATGAGGAGATTCAAATAGTAATTAAAAAGCCTTCCAGAAAAAAAAAACAAAAACAAACAATCAGAAACACAAGTTCAGAGTCAGATTCACAGCAGAATTCTACAAGACATCCAAAGACCTACAACCTATCCTTCTTAAAGATTCAAAAACAGAAAAAGGAGAACACTCCCAAACTTCTACTAAAAAGTCAATATCACTGTAATATTCAATCCAGGTAAAGACACAACAAGGAAAAGAAACTGCAGGCCAGTATTCTCAGTGCGCACCGACACAAAAGTGATCAATTAAATACTTACAAATTGAATACAGATACACACCAAAAAGATTACCCTTCATGACCAAGTTGTTTTTATCCCTGAAATGTAGGAATGATTCAACATACACAAGTGTCAACAAATGCAATAAGTCACATAAATGGATTTGAAAACAAAAATCATCTCAATGTGGTCATCTCAATAGACACAGAAAAATCGTTTGACAAAGTCCAACATGGCTTCATGATAAAAGTCCCAGAGAGTGTAAGACTAGAGGGAGCCCACCTCAACACAATAAAAGTCCCAGAGAGTGGAAGACTAGAGGGA